TTTGCTTTTCCACTTGTTAGGGCAGATTTTAGGGATTATGTTTGCGTAGTTATCCTACAATCTATTGTAGCTTTCTTTTGGCTCTCTATAAGAGTTGCCTTCACTCTCTTGTAATCTTCATAATGAAATATACAACAAATATTGAAACCAAAACTCAACATTGTCATGCCCCAACTTGCAAATAAGAACTATTTACGAATTAGGAAGTGAGCCATATATGATATATCTTAGCTATAAATTATTGATAATTAACAATAATATGAATGAGGAAATATCATCTTTACCATTTTAAACCAATCCCTTTCTACACTCTCTATTCCCTTTCTTCCACCGTTTGACCCATTTCAATTTTCTCTCTCTTTCTGTCCTGCCAAATATGACCAACGATCCTATTATCCCACCACCAAACCCCAAACATCTAACTAAACTCCCCCACTCTCTTTGTTTTTTAATTTGTATTCTCCCACATGCTACAAACCAGCCCCCTCCTCCTCCCAACTCTTTCCTTTCAGTTTCCTTCTTCACTCTGACCCCTATATCTCACCTTCTCTCTTATCAACCCAACCCTCAACCCTTCTAATTATTCAACGCACACCGTCTGTGTAGCGGGGAAGCTTCTGCTGCTCATGGAGTGCATGCTGCAACTTCCCCAGCTGAGTATGGCGTAACGGCTGTTGCGTCGCAGTGGCATGGCATCGGCACATCGCAACGGAAAGACATTAATTACAGTCAATTGTTAAGTTCATTTATTCAAGCGAAAAGACATTGCTTTCACTTATTAAAGCCAAAAGACATAAGAGTCAATTGTTAATTCCATACTATGGCTAAAGCCATATGATTACTTGTATTGTGTGGGGTGCGCACATGTGTGACGTGTATGTATAATTGAAAGAATCCATGTCAATTTGCATGCGTTATCAGTTGTCTGCGAGTGTTGTTATCGGCAACGGTGGATCCAAAAAATAATATTAGGGGGGTCAGTAAGAATAGTGCGCACAGCGCGCAAATTCTTTTTACCAGAAATAGCATGCATATCGTTATTTCATTGAGTCTTGGTAGGCCTAAAAGCATTTGGAAAAATATATTACACACCTGTTAATGTATGCAAGGTGAAGCGCCCAAGGTATCCATGGACATTCACCAAGTCTTGGTAAGCCTGAAGTCAGTTAGAGGGCATATATGAAGCCAACTCTAATCTTCAAAAAGGCAGCATCCAAAGTATCCATAGACATTCACTGAAGTTCGGAAAGTTAGCACTCAAAATATCCATAGACATTTATTGAAGTTTGAGGGGTCAGCTAACCCCCCATACCCCTCAATGCATACGCGCACTGGTTATCGGCTATTTTATGTTTCAGAATTCGATGCTTGGAATTGTTCTAGCCGGTCAGCACTTCGGAAACCCTCTAACTGCAGTACCATGTACTGTTTCCAGCGTTTGTCATTCAATCTTGGGTAGTGCCTTGGCAGCGTATGTCGGAATTTCTTTCCGTACGTAGTAGCTATGGAACAGTTGGATTTGCACTTTTTGGTGCTGGTATGTGAATAAGTTGAACATATATTGGTGAGTTATACTTCTATTAGAAAGATTATGTAAATGTGGTATCAAAAATGTGATAAGTGTATCCACCATTTTCGTTCTTTTATTTTGCATATGATTGCCTCTATATCGGACAAGAAAAGTTGCAAATAGTCCCATCCAAAAGATTGAATTAGGAAACAAGGGAGCAAGTACACAACTTTATTTACATCTACAAAGTTCAGATTGAAAGATTTCAATTTTCGGCTTATCGTCGTACACTAAAAAAAAGAACAAAAAAAAAACTCCAAGTCATTTTGAGGGAAAACTTATCTCAAATCGTAACCCAAAACCCAAGCCCAACAACAAAGCCGGACCTCTCACCCAAATACTTTTGGTACCAAAATTCCCCCAACCAAAAACTTAAATACCCCGCCAAATTCAAATATTGGCTACTAAAACCAAGGTTCTAAAAAACGCTAGGCGGTAGTCAGGTGGCGGGCTGGCTCCTAGCGGCTAGGTGGCTAGGCGGGGTCTAGGCGAGCGCCTAGGCGGATTTAGGTAAATTTCTTGTATATCTTGTAAATAAATGCATATTGACACTTACAAAAAATTATACTTGTATGAAATCCATGAATAAGATAATAAAAAAAATGATAAAATGCAAAAAGAGTATCCAACAAGTCCAAAATTTAAAAACATATTAAGCATATATGACATATAACCATAGTGAAGAGTATTGTAGGATGATAAATGTACAAGTTCACAATTTTAAACCACTTAGACTTAGATAGGATATTTTATTTTATTTTTAATTTCATTAAAAAAATAAACCGCCTAGCCCCGCCTAGCCCGCCTAGAGCCAATCCGATTTTTCCAACCGATTTGCAAGAAAACGTCTCGGCTCACCACCACCTAGGCCTTTTTTTAGAACATTGACTAAAACTCAAATGAAAATGAAGGCTCGTAACTTTCAAAGTTCCCACAACAAATCTAGTTCGTTCGTCTAATATTTCAATTCAAATCCCTAATCTCTAATCCCAAATCAAAACCTCAAAAGAGATCAAACTCTCTCAATCAATCTTCCCACCAAATCATTTTGCCCATTTTTATTTGCCCAACAACCAGACCAACAAATGGATCAGAGATTCCATGGCCCACCTCCTCTCAAGAGATTCAGACTCATGTAGCAGCAGGAGAAGGATGCCATTTTCTCCCCTTTGCACATTCCGAGGAAAAAATGAAAGGCGCTTAGGGACCAACTCGTTCTCCCTGACCTTGTTGCCTCCGCCGCTGCCATCTCACCTATTCCGTGCTTGCCAAGAAAAGGGTTTGGGCGTTTCAGCCTGATTTGTTCCCCAAAGAGCCCATTTCGACATTAGACCTTAATGTCAACTACAAGTTGGGTGGGAGCCGGAAGAAGAGGTGGTGGAGAAAATAGAGGAAGTGGAGGGTAAATCTGAAAATTGTTGCAATGAAAATATCGAGATTACCCAAGACCAAGAAGAGAAAAGCCAAGAAATTGCAGGGGATGAAGAATGCAATGAAGAAGAAGATGATGGGTTTTTTTGTGTGTTGTTTGTCAGAGCACAGATGGAGATCCATCGGATCCAATGGAGGAGGATTGTCTGCCCTCCAAGTTACCGTGCCCTCCCATGCCCTCCTGATTGTGTGGTCACAGTTAAACCACGTTAATATTTTATATTATTATTTATTTTTGTTTTATTATCTTTATAAAAAAATAATATAAAATATTAACGTGACTTAACCGTGACCACACAAAACAGGAGGGCATGGAAGGGCACCGAAACTTGGAGGGCAGACAATCCTCCTCCGGATCCAATTGTGTTCTATGACGGGTGTGATATGATGGTTCATGTCTCCTACTATGGAAATCCCCTCGTAAAGGTATCTGAAAGGCGATTGGTTTATAGCCAAATGCGCATTTTTCAATGTGCATTCTCAATCCATTGAGTCATATTCTTGATGCTTGTGTCCTGTCAATTGATGGGTAATAGAGCCCACTGGAGACGGCAGGTAGGTTCACATTATGTACGAGCTTTATGTCATGGATAAAGAAAGTTAAGGTTCTATCATAAAACCAATTAGTAATACGAGGAATAGCCTAACTACTTATAAACTCATGCAATGTCTCTTCTCTCATCAATATAGGATTCACTCTCAACACGTCATTTTACGTGTGACGAATTTTCAAGCCTAACACGTGAACAACACAACTCAAGTGACATAGAGCAAGTGTGGCCGTTGGGCTTCACACATGGGCCAAACTGTTCTGATACTATGAAAAAAATTGAGGTTCTACCATAAAACCAATTGACAATATGAGAAGTAACTCAACTACCTTATAAGCACATGCAAGATCCCTCATCTCATCAATGTGGGATTCACTATCTACACTGGAAGTGTTATTCAAGGATCCTGAAGGTCGGGAAAGGATTAATTGCTCCAAGGTTTCGAAAAGGCGGTGGAAGGAGAGGTGTTATGTTTGTGAGAGTTCAAAGGGGTGTGCTATCCAGTGCTTTGAGCTTAAATGCCCTTTGGCATTTCATGTGAGTTGTGGGTTGAATGAGGATCTTTGTATCGAGTATAAGGATGGAATGAATAAGGGAGCTATTGCCACAAAATTCCATCACTTGAACATCTACTTGTACTGACTTGTAGACCCTTTGGTTGTGAAAACTTCATAGACAAGTAATAAGGGCCAGTTTGAAAGAAGCCTTCACCAATCATCTTCCCGGTAATTATGTCCTTTAAAATCACATTATGGGGTGAGAAAATTGCTAGGCAATTTAGTGTTTTGGTGATCCTTCCTACTGACATGAGATTAAAAGGAAAGAATGGAACATAAGGGACAATGGACTGAACTTTGTTTGGATATTAGCTTAATTTTCCCACTACTACGAAACCATTTATTAGTATCGTTATGATAACTGACAAGAAATGTATATTTTAAGCAAAATCCGACAGAAAATGGATGCAGTGACGGATATAATAAGCGACATAATTGCCAGTGTCAGGAAATGAATTTTCCGACAGAAAATACTCTAAATCCAACAAAAATTGTGTCGGATATAACCAACAGAGAATGTATTAATAATGAATAAATAAGATCATTTTTGTCGGCTAAAACCGACAAAAAATACTAAAATCGATAGAACTTGTGTCTGATATAACCGACATAGAATTTATTAATAAGAATTAAATAAAAACATTCTTGTCGAATAAAACCGACAGAAAACATATTAATAATAAATAAATAAAGTATAAACCACTTTCTGCATTTTCCATATCCCATGCATTCACTGCATTTTCCATATTCAACCTAAGTTTCAAATTCTTCCTCTCTAATGACAACATGTTTGACAGAGGAAGAATTTGTATGGGCACACCATAGCTCTCACGGTTACTAGAATTCAAACTAATAGATTTCCTCGTCAGAGCGAAGAGAATGAGAAGGAAATGAGGAAACTAACACCTACAAATTTATACACAACAAAAATTTACTAACCATATATTTACATTTTTTAAGCATCATCTCCTGTATAGCCCATCGGCTTAATTATACTCACATTTTATAAGCATCAGCTCTTGTATAGCCCACTGGCTTCACTAGAGGAACTAACACCTACAAATTTATACACAACAAAAATGTACTACCCATGTAAAATCACCAAGAAATAAACCCTATATTTACCTCACGATTCACGGCAAAAATTGGGCAGTGTCGACCGATCATATCATGCCATTCAGTTTTCATCTGAAATCGCGAAATTGCACAAAACCCATTAAAAATTAAACAAAACCCATTAAATTTGAACAAAACCTATTAAAATTGAGTCGAAATTGAATAAATATTTCAGAGAGAGAGTACGGATAGAGTGATAAAGGCCCATCTTGCTCATGGGGACGATGTCGCCTTGCTTGTAAGCGAAAGATATGCAGGGCAGCACGGAGAAAGAAATCAACAGAGGGAGCAGCAGGAGTGAGAACCTCGACCCCCTTCCACTTCCCGCCATCTTGTAATTTCTATCGCTCTGAAACTTTCACTCGATCTTCCGAAGTTGGAGACTCGAGATTGCAGGTGATGCAGTCGACAGGCAGAAATGTGAAGGAATTATTATTTCGGGTTTGGAGTTTGGAGAAAAGGGGGAAGGAATAGGGGAGGGAGAATGCACCGTCGCAAGGAAGAGATAAAAGGAGTTTTATTCTGTAAAATTTCATTAAATATTTTTTAAAATATAAACCGACATAAAATTTTTATTACTATCGGTTACAACCGATAGAAAAAATATGGCTGCAAAAATCCTTCCAAAATTCCCTTCAAAAATTTTTATTCCCCCCCCCCCCCCCAAAATTTTGTTATGATTTAAAAAAATAAAATAATAAATTGTTTGGTTTAATAAATAAATAAATAATATGTATTTAAATAGAATACATTTTTAAAAATTAAATAAATAATTATTTGGTCTAATAGATAATAACCCATGTAAAATATGCAATAAAGAAACAAAAAGATAATTGTACGATGAAAATGTCATCACACAAACTAAATATTGTCTAATCAATACTTGAAAAACATAAATAAAAATTTAGCACAAATTACTATTCCCACTTAAAAATTTAGGCAAATTTAACGAAGATATGCATTCTACGAAACTAGTTTCTATGATCTAACCGTAAAACTTGTTTGTTGATACTACAAGATCGCATACGTAAAAATCGCAAAAAAAAATATTCAGAGATTAGGTAACGAAACAAAAAATTTCAACGATTATAAACGAAAAATCACAATTTAACTGTTATTTTAGCTCTGATTTTGATGATTTTTTATAAGGGTAAAAGACTATTTACTACCCTCATGTTTCATGGTTTTCAACATTTAGTACATCAAGTTTTTTTCGTCTCAGAGTCATACCTAAAATGTAAATTTTGGAACAATCTCATACATCCGTTAGTCAAACTGTTAAATTTGCCGTTAATTGTGACGTGGCGCCCATGTGGACAATGACTGAGCGCCACGTGTCAGCCACGTTTTTTTTTTTTTTTTTCTTTCTTTCTTCTTTTCTTCTTCTTCTTCTTCTTCTCTTCTTCTTCTTCTTCTTCTTCTTCTTCCACCCGACTGCAACATTTTTTTTCCTTCCTCCTTCTCCTTCCTTCCCATTCTTCTCCTTCTTCCTTCTCTTCCTCCGAATCTAGGGAATTTTTTTTTCTTCCTCCTTCTTCCTCCGAATCTGCCCAGATTCGGTTTTTTTTTTTTTTTTTTTTTTTTTGAGGAAGATGAAGAAGAAGGAGGAAGGAGGAAGGAGGAAGGAAGAAGGAAGAAGAAGAAGGAAGGAGGAAGGAAGAAGGAAGAAGAAGAAGGAAGGAAAAAAAGAAAAGAAAAAAGTTGCAGTCGGAGGAAGAAGAAGAAGAAAGAAGAAAAAAAAAAAAAAGCCGAATCTGGACAGATTCGGAGGAAGAAGAAGAAGAAGAAGAAGAAGAAGAAGAGGAAGGAAGAAGGAGGAAGGAGGAAGGAGAAGGAAGAAGGAGGAAGAAGAAGAAAAAAAAAAAAAAAAAAAACTTCCCCAGATTCGGAGGAAGAAGAAGAAAAAGAAGAAGAAGAAAAAGAAGAAGAAAAAAAGAAGGAAGAAGGAAAGGAAAGAAGGAAGCAAGAAGAAGAAGAAAAAAAAAGCGAAAAAACGAATCTGGGCAGATTCGGAGGAAGAAGAAGAAGAAGAAGAAGAAGGAATAAGGAGGAAGGAGAAGGAAGCAGGAAAAAAAAATTCCCCAGATTCGGAGGAAGAAAAAGGAGAAGGAGAAGGAAGAAGAAGGAAGAAGGGGAAGGAAGAAGGAGGAGGAAGAAGGAGAAGGAGGAAGAAAAAAAAAAGTTTGCAGTCAGGTGGAAGAAGAAGAAGAAGAAAGAGAAAAAAAAATATCCCCAGATTCGGAGGAAGAAAAAGGAGAAGGAGAAGGAGAAGGAAGAAGAAGGAAGAAGGAGAAGAAGGAAGAAGGAGAAGAAGGGGACAGAAGAAGGAGGAAGGAAGAAGGAGAAGGAGGAAGAAAAAAAAAAGTTTGCAGTCGGGTGGAAGAAGAAGAAGAAGAAAGAAGAAAGAAAAAGAAGAAAGAGAAAAAAAAAATCCCCAAATTTGGAGGAAGAAAAAAGAGAAGGAGAAGGAGAAGGAAGAAGAAGGAAGAAGGAGAAGAAGGGGAAGGAAGAAGGAGGAAGGAAGAAGGAGAAGGAGGAAGAAAAAAAAAAGTTTGCAGTCGGGTGGAAGAAGAAGAAGAAGAAGAAGAAAGAAAAAAAAAAAAAACGTGGCTGACACGTGGCGCCACATCATTGTCCACATGGGCGCCACATCACAATTAACGGAAAATTTAACAGTTTGACTAACGGATGTATGAGACTGTCCCAAAATTTACACTTTAGGTATGACTCTGAGACGAAAAAAATTTGATGTACTAAATGTTGAAAACCATGAAACATGAGGGTAGTAAACAGTCTTTTACCCTTTTTATAATTACACTCCTCGACCCTATAAGAATGCATTGAACAAATTCGATCTTCAATTTAAAATATTTACATTAGTAGATACCACAAAATCTTATTTTATACTTGATAGAAGTATAATATTAACTCTAAGTGTTTGTTTAATCTACAATTTTGATGCGATATGCATTATACGAAACTTTTTTCAATGATCCAACCGTAAAACTTATTTGTACACACTCCGAGATTGCATACGTAAAAAATCGTAAAAAACAAACATTCAAAGATTACGTAATAGAACAAAAGTTTTCAACGGTTATAAATGAAAAATCACAATTTGACAGTTATTTTAGCTCCGATTTTTATGATTTTTTATAGCTACACTCCTCGACTCTATAAGAATGCATTGAACGAATTCGATCTTCAATTTAAAATATTTACACTAGTGGATACCACAAAATCTTATTTTATACTTAATGGAAGTATAATATTAACTCTTAAATGTTTGTTTAATCTACTGTTTTGACGCGATATGCATTCTACGAAAAAAATTTCAACGATCCAACAGTCAAACTTATTTGTATACACTCTGAGATTGCATACGTAAAAAATCGTAAAAAAACAAACATTCAGAGATTACGTAACGAAACAAAAGTTTTCACAGTTATAAATGAAAAATCACAATTTAATAGTTATTTTAGCTCCGATTTTAATGATTTTTTACAACTACACTCTTCGACCCTATAAGAATGCAATGAATAAATTTGATCTTCAATTTAAAATATTTACACTAGTGGATACCACAAAATCTTATTTTATAGTTAATGAAAGTATAACATTAACTCTTAAATGCTTATTTAATCTACCGTTTTGACGCGATACACATTTTATGAAACTTTTTTCAATGATCTAACCATCAAACTTGTTTGTACACACTCCGAAATCGCATACGTAAAAAATCACAAAAAACAAGCATTCAGAGATATAGAACAAAAGTTTCGATGGTTATAAACGAAAAATCATAATTTAACTATTATTTTAGCTCTGATTTTGATGATTTTTTACTTTGTTCGTGTCGGTTATATCCGACAGGGCCATGAGTGAATTTTTTTTTAACCATGTGTTTATTTATTTATTTGAATCAATATAACATTTTAAAATAATAAAATAGTCAATTTATGTCGGTTATAACTACTAGAATACTAAAATAATAACCGCCAGATGTGTCTGATACCGATTACATCGCATCTAGATGTGAAAATGTAAAACGTTATCTCAAAAAGAAAATTTATTTATTTTTTTATATTTTTAATTTTTAAGTTATCTGTAATCTTAATCTAGAAGCTGATACTTTTATTTTTATTTTTAAATTATCTATTATCTTAATCTAGACCATGAGAGTTGTACAAATTGTAAGTTCTCCGATTTAGTGAGTAATAAAGTAAGATTATATGAAGGATTTACACAGAAAAAGATTTTGGAGACTTGTATACTTTCAGGTTTGGATTACATATTGAAAAGGAGATTGAAAAGAAAACAACATGTGAAAATGCAGTTATTTTAGAAAAATTTAAGAAAAATATTTTATACTTTACATATCAAATTGTGTATGATCTCCAATTCGATATGTCTCAATGTTGTTTAATTTATACGATGTATGAAAAATATATCAAGATCGGCAACATTGATATCGAGTTTATATAGTGGTTTAGGAAATTGGAAGGTTTGGGGATGTAAATGAGAAATGGTCCGGGAGGAGAAGCCAATCAAGAACAAAAAGAAAAAAGCGAAAACTGTGTATGATTATCGTTTGAAGGGAAATGACGGAAAGGACTATAGGTCCTGCAGATTAGCATCCCACAGGTCCATGAGTGAAAAAAATAATATTTAAACCATGTATTTATTTATTTAATTTTAATTAATATAACATTTTAAAATAATAAAATAGTCAATTTTTGTCGGTTATAACCACCAGAATACTAAAATAATAATCGTCAGAAACTAAAATAATAAAATAGTCAATTTTTGTCGGTTATAACCGCCACTATTAACTTAAAAACCGCCAGAATATGTTAAAAAAAAAATTAAAAAATACTGGTGGTTATAATAATTTTATGGCGGTTGCATCCGACACTAAATATCCGCTAGGAATTTATGTCGGATAGAACCTATATGATTTCATTGTTATCCGACACTAACTGAATGATGTGTCAGATATCTTTTATCCGACATAATAACTTATTAAACCGCCACCATCATCCGACACCTAAAGCTAATATTGTAGTAGTGTCCTTTTGCCCATGACTGAAACTCCTCTACGATTAACAATTGATAATTAAGATGACATTTTTTGAAAATCATGCAAGTTTGTAGGTTGGTTTGTCATGTGATCAATGACACCCATATCCAATAATCATGCACAAGACTTGCATTTTGAGCTTTTGAAAAGTATTTAAGATACCTGCAATGTCTTCGTGTGGTATTCCTTCTGCTTCTGCCAAAAACCCAGTGAACTTCCCAAGGAGAGTAGTGTGGTTCTCGGCTCCAGTTCCCACTGTTTCTTCACTCTGACCCCTCCAATTTTTGCTTTGAAGGTAGGAAGCAAACTCATTGATCAATGTAGTAGGATTTGACGTAAAATCTAACAAACCACCACTGGGAGTTTGACCTGCATGGTTTATTAAGGAAGATGCTGCAAGATTGGACCCATAACTACTTTTGAATGGTGGATTTGAGCTACTTTGAAATGTCATTTGTCATCCTTGTTGAACTTAGGTTTTAACATTGGATGAAGTATCCAACATCGATCTTTGGTATGACCAATTCCAAGGTGACCAATACGAAGACAGTGATCACATTTTAAGTCCGACCTTTTTCCCTTGTAAACCCTTGATTCAGGCGACTTGTGATTTGAAGCATATGCCCGAGTTTCTCCCACACTGGACTTGGTGTCAACAGCCATGACTCGCCTTTTAACTTCTTCTCGTTGTATGGTGGCACATACACTGGAAAAAGATGGAAACTCTGAGTTCATCAAGATGTGGCTCCTCAAATCTTCATACACCGAGCTTTGACCGACTAACAATTGGAAGATTTTGTTTTCCTCAGCCCTCTTCAACAGTATAGTAGTATCGGTGGTATAAGGCCTATAAGCGTCCAACTCGCTCCACATCGACGTTGTAGTGAGGTCACCGAGATGTTGAACAAAGAACTTACTTAATTTCTTGTTTAAGGGTAACAACATCTCTTTTGAGCCGAAAAACTCTGGCTGAGTTATTTGGTTGTCCTACATTTCTCTCACCTTGTCTCATAACTACTGTGAAGATTCAAAATAGCTGAAGATTTCAGCGATTCTCCTCTTCATGGAGTTAAGTAACAAAGACATGATCAACTGGTCCTTGCACATCGATGATGCATAATATGGAGAGGTGTTCTCCGGTGCTGGAATGACTCTATTGATGAAGCTAAGCTTAGCTCTTCCTCCAAGGGTTAGATTTACTGCCCTTGACCAAGGGAGATAATTGAACTTGTTGAACAACACTAAATTAAACCTTTAATCAGGGTTGATATCAACCTCAGAGATATTGGTAGACGATGGGGCAAGGGTGCTCTCTGTGGAGCCAAAAATAATCAAGAAAAATATGGAGGCGACATATGGACTTTTGGATGAAAAAGACAAGATTACCCTCGAGGCACATCAGAACTTACCATCGTATTATGCAGCTGGTTTGATATTGGTTGGTTGCTGCCCAGGTGGTATGTATCTGTGCCAGTCTTTTCGTAAATATCATTGTTATATTTACTCAATCTTCACCGCTCCTTCTGAATTCAATTTTTCCCCGGTTAATTCTTTGCAGGAACAGCAAGTAACATTGTAACTTATATTGCACGGTACATGAATCATCTGAAATAGTATCAACTTGTCGTAATTGTTCCGCCCCTTTATGTTGCCAGCCCCAACAGAGTGTTGGTGAGTTGGATGGGTATGTTATATTGAAAAAATATTACAGGATTGGCACGCGTACATTTCACTTGCACTTTGCGTACCATCTTGCTGCTCAGATGAATAAGACCGAAAGGGATGATACTAAAACTTTCAAAAACTAGGGTGACAAAAGTCTACTTTACTTTTTGCCCCTCTCCTGGCCAGAGGATCTGATGACCTTGTTGTTTTTGCAGTGGGAATGTGGCACTTTCGGTTTTAATGACAGCAGCAAGCACTTTATCAGCCGTGGTAGGTAAACCGACATAAATTTCTTTTGATATTTTTTTTGTTCTTTAAGCGGTGTACTGGTATGGTCCAAATTTTGCACATACATTGAAAACTGGTTAGAAAGATAAGTTTGAATCAAATTTTCTGCTAAAACTCGCGGAAAAATTAAATTCTGATTAACATTCTGTCATGTCTATTTCTTTTGCCTGTCAAAAGCTACGGGGAGCATCAAACTATCTCCCTTTGGAAATGATTCGTTAAATATGAATTATGAATAAAATTTTCCTTTGTTCGATTCTCAACCTAAAGTCATCTGCCGAAAGATCAGACCTTAACCCACCATTTGGACATGGGAAATAAACTTGAAATTTAGACAAAAATCAGAATTTTTAAATTGAAATGATCAATTCCCTTGTTTGGATTTATAATCATAGAAATTTAGTTACCACATACTATTACTAATGACTTAAATTATAAGCTTTTATCAAGGAACCTTACTTCTTTTACCCTTTCATATTGTAGAACATGACCCCATTTCTCACAGCTAAACTTGCTGGCCAATGTGTTGCAGTAGATGCAGCTGGGCTCTTATTCTCAACACTGCAGGTAAGCTTTCAATCGTTTTGCCTTCGTCTTGTTATAGGTGTTGCTGTTTTAAATTATATAAAGGTGCCATATGCTTTGAACACAGGTTGTGCTTCTCCCTGTTTTGGCGGGTGCATTTCTGAATCAGTATTTCCAAGGCCTGGTTAAATTCGTCTCCCCCGTGATGCCACCCATTGCTGTAGCACTGTAGGTGTTCTTTGTGGGAATGCAATTGCCCAGAGTTCATTTGCAATCCTTACGTCTGGTAAACAAGTGGTGCTATTGCTTCCGCTCTTCTTCATGCAAGTGGATTTTTCTTTGGATACATCTTTTCAAGGATGCTTGGGCTCGATGTCACATCATCAAGGACTATCTCCATCGAGGTTGGCATGCAGGTAAGCATCATTGGATTGTTTTTTTTCTTCTGGATTTTTTAAAAGAGAGTTTCACAGCTTTTCCACTGCTATTTACTTTCTAGTGAAAAGACATTGCATTCATTTATTCAATCGAAAAGACATTACAGTCAATTGTTAATTTCATTCTGTACCAAAGCCATATGATTGCTTGTATTGTGTGGGTGCGCACACGTGTGATGTGTGTGTATATATGATTGAAAGAATCCATGTCAATTTGTATGCGTTATCAGTTGTCTGCTAGTGTTGTTATCGGCTCTTCTATGTTTCAGAATTCGGTGCTTGGAATTGTTCTAGCTGGTCAGCACTTCGGAAACCCTCTAACTGTGGTACCATGTGCTGTTTCCAGCGTTTCTCATTCAATCTTGGGTAGTGCCTTGGCAGGATTCTGGAGACAGACCGTGACAACCCAGAAGCAAGATTGAAATGTAAGGTTGTGTCACGTGAGTGAGTTTGCCACATCATTTTATTTGTGTTATATTAAATAAGAAATAGAATTATACATGTATTAGGAAATAAATAATATTATTATTATTTACATTTTAGTGGGAATAGAACTCTTGAAGAGTGGTTTTCAAATCACCACATCGTGGATGACATTTTCCTTAATAGGAGGAAACTGTCAACTGTTGTAGATATATGTTTTGGTCTCTCCTCTCACAATCTATCGTTCATACTGAGAAGTTCGTCCTATTGAGAACTGAACACAAGATTGCAGAGAGGAGAAGACTCTAACTCGGAATGATGAATTCTTCAAGTAAGCTTTACTGATTGTTTCCATAGAACAATTCTATACACGGCTTATGGTATTAATTGTAGTTACTTGTATTTAATTGGTTTAGATCCTTTAATTGAAGATTCTTACATGTGGTATCAGAGCCACCAATTAAATCTTGAACTCGATTGTTTAACTAGAATAAAATAAGGTTGAAATGGTGCCGCTTTGCTTTTTTGGTATAAAGTTTCTTTTCACATTTGCTCCGCTGCATATTTTGCCTCTTCTTCTCTCTGTTCTCGCATGGTGGTTTCGTTAAGTTTTGATTTTGATTGAAGTCATCAATAAAGTCGCTAAAGTCTTTCTTCTCATATCACAATTGTTTCACGATCTTGCCTTCCTCAAAATTATCATCTCAAATAAAGGTATTTAACCTAATTTTGCTATCTGCCATTTCGATCATCATTTAATCACAAATTCTGTAATCTTGTCTAATTAAATCAAATAAAGCTTACCTTTTGGTGAAAATTATTATTGTAATCGTTTATTTTGAGTTCGTTTTCGATTATGGTTATAGTTGTGAACTTTGTCTGAATTATATTAGAATTCATTGGAAATCAAATTTGGTTGCATTGATTTGTCTGATGGCCTTCTATAAATTTTTTGTCAATATCTTGGATCGACAAATATGAATTCTGGGTTGGTTTCATTAAGAATATTCAATTTACTACTAAAGTGGTTTATTTGAAATTTTTGCTCTTAAAGAATCAAGTTTCGTTTAACCAGATTATGGTTTATGAACTGTAACAAGTGAAATTAGCTTCCAAAGAGGTTGTTTTACTGGGATTAGTTATAAACTATTGTATAGTGCGCAATGGAAAACTCGGGTTGTGTATTTTTCTTCTTGCCTAAAGGTGTGGAATGACATAATTTCTAGTGCTTTATTCTTTGCTATGCAAATGTTTGAATGTTCATCTTGATATATAGAATGGTTTCTTGCCCAAAGGTGTAACCAGTTTCTATAGTTTGAATATGAAGAAAGCTTGTTCAACTTTCTTGTCATAAATATTATGAAATTCAAACACTTATGCAATTTTGAACAACTTACAGGTCTCAACATTTTGAATCTCATCAACATTGAAAAATTGAATGGGAACAATTTCAGAACATGGAAGCAGCAAATTGACTTGAATCTGGGGCTTTTGGAGTTTGCCATTGCTTTCAAGCAGCCTAAGCCACATGCTTTGACCAGTGAGAGTACAAAGGATCAGAAAGATGCATTTGAAAAATGGGCAAGAGCCAATGAAATGTCCTTACTTATCATGCAAAATGCTATGGAGGAACACATTAGGGGAGGCGTTCCTTCTTGCGATTTGGCTAAGGACTACTTGGCTGCCATTGAAGAGAAGTACAAGAGGTCAGATAAGGTGGAGACAGGGTCGTATCTAACTGCTCTCACTTCTGCTAAGTTTGATGGAGGAAGTATCAGAGAACACCTTCTTAAGCTTGTCAATGTTGGCAACAAGCTGAACACCCTGGATGTTCCAATTTCTGAGCAATTCCTGGTTCACATGGCACTTAATTCTTTGACTGCTGAATATGAACAGGTCAAGATTAACTACAACACTCAAAAAGAATCCTGGACTGTGAATGAACTGATTGCAATCTGTTGTCAAGAGGAAGATAGACTCAAGAAAGGCAAGGAAGAAGCTGTAAATTTTGTGAATGGGGGAAAAGGAAAGAAGGCTTTTGCATTCAACAAGTCTGGAAATACTGGGAATGTTCAAATCAAATCAGCAAAATTCAAACCAGGTTCTTCTTCTGGAACTAAAAAGGGTGCTTTCAATTCTGGAGGACTTGCTAAAAATATTCCTTCCTCTAATAACTCTGGTCTGAAAGTGAATAAAGATTTTGTCAAAAAGTGTCATTTCTGTCAGTCAACTGAACATCTTAGGAGAGATTGTGCTGGCTTTAAGGCTTGGTTGATTAAGAAAGGTATTAAAATTGTTAATGTTTTTGTTACTGTTGAATCAAATTTAGTTTTTGTACCTCAAAATTCATGGTGGTTTGACACTGGTTGCACTGTCCATATCACTAATTCATTGCAGGGATTCAAAAGCCAGAGGGAACCAAGTAGAGAGGTCTACAGAGTGTTTGTTGGAAATGGAACAAAAGTAGATGTTGAGTCTGTTGGAAGTATCAAATTAGAGTTGTCTTCTGGTTTTATTTTAATTTTGAACAATGTCTTCTATGTACCTTCTATGAGAAGGAATTTGTTTTCAGTTTCTAAGTTTGTAATGGATGGTTTTTCTTTTATTGGAGATAATGAAAGCATCAGACTTTTTCATAAGAATCAATTTGATAATTTGCTTGGTTATGCTTTTCCAAATGGAGATTTATGGCAGCTTCAATGTACTTATGTTCAAGAATGTTTCAATGTTGAAAATTCTGCCCCTAAGAGAGTGCTCTCTAATCATAAGTCATCTATGCTTTGGCATAGAAGATTGGGGCATATCTCCAAGGATAGAATGAAACGTTTGATGAAAGCTAGTATGCTGCCAGAATTGGATTTTACTGATTTAGAGTTATGCATTGACTGTTTTAAAGGCAAAACCACAAGTACTAGGAAGCTAGGTTCAACTAGAAGCAGTAACTTGTTAGAAATAATACATACAGATGTTTGTGGTCCATTTCCAACAAAGACCATCTGTGGTAATCTCTATTTTGTTCTCTTTATTGATGATTTTTCACGGTTCACTTATCTTTATTTAATTTCCGAAAAGTCTCAAGTTTTCAATTGTTTTAAAATCTTTAAACTGGAAGTTGAAAATCAATTGGAAAAGACTATTAAAGTTGTTAGATCAGATAGAGGAGGGGAATTTTTTGGCAGGTACACAGAAAGTGGTCAGCAGAAAGGACTTTTTGCCTTGTTTCTTCAACAACATGGAATAATGGCTCAATATACAACTCCAGGGACTCCACATCAAAATGGAGTAGCGGAAAGGAAAAACAGAACATTGAAAGATATGGTTAGAAGCATGCTATCTCATTCTCAATTGCCAGAATTTTTATGGGGGGAAGCTATTAAGACTGCCAACTATATTCTTAATCGTGTGCCTAGCAAATCTATTCCTTCTACTCCATTTGAGATCTGGACAGGCAGAAAACCCAGTCTAGCTCATTTTCACACCTGGGGATGTAAGGCAGAAGCACGTCTTTATAACCCTAATGAAAGGAAGCTTGATCCGAGAACTACAAGTTGTTATTTTGTGGGTTATTCAGAGAGGTCAAAGGGGTTTAAATTCTATTGTCCTCATTCACATACTCGGATTTCTGAGACAAATAATGCAAAGTTTATTGAAGACTTTAATGCAACTCACTGTCAGTCCAGGAATTCATACATTTTTGAGGAAGTTGGTGAAACAGAAATGGCATCTTCGAGCAATACCGTTACACTGCCTATTCCCATGTCAAATATAGCTACTGAGGATGACATTGCAGCCACTCAACCACCTGTAACCAATGAAAATCCCGTTCATATTCCTGATATACAACCATTGCAGCCACAAGAAAGTGATGTAGCACCTGCACCAGTTCTGAGGAAGCCTCAAAGACCAAGAAAATCAGCAATCTCCGATGATTATTTAGTTTACTTGCAAGAAACAGATTATGATATTGGTGATGATAATGATCCTGTATCCTTTCAACAAGCTATGCAAAGTGACAAAGTAGCATTCTGGAAGTTAGCAATGGAAGAGGAATTGCTTTCGATGGCCAAAAACAATGTTTGGTCTTTAGAAACACCTATCCTAAGATGAAACCAATAGGATGTAAATGGGTTTTTAAAACCAAGCATGACTCACAAGGAAGAATTTAGAGACATAAGGCCAGACTTGTTGCTAAGGGATTCACTCAAAAGGAAGGATTGGATTATCACGAGACTTTTTCCCCAGTTTCTACAAAGGATTCCTTGCGTATTATCATGGCACTTACAGCTCATTTCAATCTTGAATTACATCAAATGGATGTGAAAACTGCTTTTCTCAATGGTAGTTTAGATGAAGACATTTACATGGTTCAACCACCAGGTTTTATTGAAAGGGGGAAGGAGAACATGGTATGCAAGTTGAACAAATCTATCTATGGTCTTAAACAAGCCTCAAGGCAGTGGAATCAAAAGTTTGATGAAGTGATAACTTCGTTTGGTTTTGTCATGAATAAAATTGACAATTGTGTCTACATGAAGATGATAAACTCCAGGTTCATCTTTCTCCTTCTTTATGTAGACGATATATTGCTTGCAAGTTCAGATATTCATTTGCTACAAGAAACAAAAAGTATGTTGTCTAATAGTTTTGACATGAAAGACATGGGAGAGGCTCATTTTGTGTTAGGCATTGAAATAATAAGGGACAGATCAAAAAGGGTTTTAGGATTGTCCCAAAAGAACTATATCAATAAAGTTCTTAGGAGATTCAATATGGAAACATGTTCTGGTGGTGATGTCCCAATTGGAAAGGGAGACAAATTTTCAAAAAGTCAGTGTCCTAAAACAGATTTTGAAGTTGAAGCTATGAAGGACAAGCCTTATGCATCACTAGTTGGAAGTGTTATGTATATTCAAGTGTGCACCCGACCTGATTTGGCTTTCACATTGAGTGTATTGGGTAGGTTTCAATCAAATCCTGGTGTTTCACATTGGAACGCAGCTAAGAAGGTTCTCAGATACTTACAGAAAACGAAGTCTTATATGCTGGTTTATAGTTATGCAGAATCACTTGATTTGGTTTGTTTTAGTGATGCTGATTTGGCAGGGGATGTTGATGACCGCATGTCAACTAATGGATATATTTTTATTATGGCCAATGGTGCTATTTCATGGAAGAGTGAGAAACAAAGGACTCGTGCTGTATCAACCATGGAATCTGAATACATTGGATGTTTTGAAGCAACTAGGCATGGTATGTGGCTAAGGAATTTAATTCGTGGCATGAAGGTTGTCTCTGACATAGAAAAACCATTGAAGCTATATTGTGATAACAGTTCTGCGGTTTTCTTTGCTAAAAATAACAAAAGAACAGAAGCTTCAAGGTTATTGGATATCAAGTATCTCACAGTTCAGGACAAAGTCAGGGAAAAGTCAGTTGATATAGAACAACTTAGCACTTTTCACATGGTTGCAGATCCTCTTACAAAGGCAGTGAATGTTACAACATTTCAAAGACTAGTGCCAAAGATGGGATTACATGCTTCACTTGAACTATTTTGAATGTGGGAGCAAGGTATCATTTCATTGTTTGCATTACGTTATATTTTCAATGACTTGTGAAAAATATACATGTTGATAACGTATTAATGGTAATGTTTTGCAAAACTCTTATGAATTTTGGAGATGTTCATGAACATTATTAGACCAAAATGTGGAAGCCTTATTGGTACCAAAGCTTTCACTTATTAATTCCCTATTTACAATAATGACACTTGATATAATTACTGAGTGATTATAGAGTGCTGGTACAATATTTGTGTCAAGTTTTCTGTAATTCTGTGATTGTGTTGAAGTGAAGAATTATTGGAAAATTTTTGTTTACATGAGTATGATTCAGTGATCACTATTGACTTATGGTATATAATGCTATTTTGAAAATGTTTTGGCTGCACTCATGTGGGAGAATGTAAGGTTGTGTCACGTGAGTGAGTTTGCCACATCATTTTATTTGTGTTATATTAAATAAGAAATAGAATTATACATGTATTAGGAAATAAATAATATTATTATTATTTACATTTTAGTGGGAATAGAACTCTTGAAGAGTGGTTTTCAAATCACCACATCGTGGATGACAGTTTCCTTAATAGGAGGAAACTGTCAACTGTTGTAGATATATGTTTTGGTCTCTCCTCTCACAATCTATCGTTCATACTGAGAAGTTCGTCCTATTGAGAACTGAACACAAGATTGCAGAGAGGAGAAGACTCTAACTCGGAATGATGAATTCTTCAAGTAAGCTTTACTGATTGTTTCCATAGAACAATTCTATACACGGCTTATGGTATTAATTGTAGTTACTTGTATTTAATTGGTTTAGATCCTTTAATTGAAGATTCTTACATGAAATGTCATGTAAAATCTTTAGACGAGCAGTACAAACTTCAATCCTTCTGTTATCGTATGAGCTGGTATTTGTCCGAATTTCTTTTCGTACGTTTTGGCTGCGGAACAGTTGGATTTGCACTTTCCGGTGCTGGTCTCTGAATAAGTTGAACTATGTTATTTTGCCTTTCAATGTGAATCCTTTGATTTTCGCTCTCGATTTTAACTTAATGTTTCACATATTTGTTTATGTATCAAAGGTCCTCCAATATTGTACGATTTCAAAGATAATAGCAAGCCAAAATTGCAAAAATATCTTCACCTATTCTGGCTTGCTCTGACTACCATTTCGTTTTTAGTTTTATTTTTTTTGTTACGTTATAGAGGGGGAATACGAAGGATAAAGGAGGGATAAGCAAAGATGGAGAAATGGTGGCGGGAGGTTACGAAAGAGTAAACAAAATGAAAACTGAAAACTAAAATCGATTTCTAGTAGGTTTTGTTTTTATTTCTTATCCTATGTCCAGTCCATTATTTCGGTTCTTTATTTTTCCATATATATTCCCTCTATCTCGGACAAGAAAAGTTACAAATAATCAAATCTAAAAGGAAGATTGAACTAGGAAACAAGAGAGCAGGTACACTATTTTAATCAATTAGCCTAATTTACATTTACAAATCCAATTGGTTCGTCTTATATTTCAATTCAAATCCCTGATCCCTAATCCCAAATCAAAACCTCAAAAAGTGTCCCAAACTTCTCAATCAATCACCCCACCAAATAATTTCCACAAATTTTCATTCGAATAAGATCGTTTATTGTTTACTTATGCGATCTGATTTATGAAATTTTCATTCAGATCGGCAGGCCTTGCAGATGCTTATGTCTGTCCTCTAAGGCTCTAAGGATTTTTTCCAAATATTTAGATATGTGGTCTGCACTTTGAGTCCTACTATACATCAATGCATTTTAAGTTGCTTAGATATTCCACTTGCTAGATATTTGTGGATTCTTGATCGCACATTCAGCGGTTAAATTCAGTAATATATGTGTACATGAATTTCTACGTAGGTTAGATAAAAGGAAGACCCGAAAACTAGAAAACGAGGGATCTCTTTCGTTTTCATGTATCGCACATTGGCATATGTATAATTGATTTGTAGCTTTCAGGTCCTGCATATGGTAGTAGGCATTAAGCAGTCAAAAGAAAGAGCTGTAAGTATTCTATGCATATTGTATATTTTCCATGCAACTGCTTATGCCTATTCAAGTTGGTTCTCTTCCTTCTCTAAGGCTGAATCATATGGCCTTGCTGCAATAAACGATTGACCATATGCTTTAACTTTTCCATCACAATTTGTGGCAGTTGTTAGGGTTTCTACGGAGGTCAAAAAAAATGTGGAGCCTAGTGATGGAAAAGTTCTTTGGTAGGGAAGTATGTGGGATGTTATTCGTTTGCCTAGCTAAGGCATACAAAAGGAGGACTCGTTGCATTCGGTATGACGATGTAAATAAATGTCGCATATCAGAAGTTCACTAATCTTGCGAAGGCTGATAAGAAGTTAGTTAATTTGTCATAATGGCCATTGATTTATGCTGGAACTTTAATTAGGGTATCAAAGCAGCTTGACTCACGTGTTAGATTTGAAAATTCATTACACATGAGAAAAGTGTGAAGAAATGTTTCCCATCGGAAGTTACCAAACCCTCTATTGTCAATTTATTTTATGATGAAACTTCAACTTTTTTTCATTCAGGTCCAGCCAAATTGTTTGTGTAACTTGAGTGCAAAACGCTCCCCCCCCCCCGGCCCGCCCCCGTGTATATTTCTTGGGCGTTTTGATACTGAAACATAACAGAAAGAAAAAGAGGCAATATTGATTAGTAGAAGAAGATCAACTTACACGAAATAGGTTTATAATTGCGTGACGTCTTAATTCAACATTACATTGCATTGCATTATTGATCCAAGCCTTTTCAATGTCAATGCATGCTGGACAAACCTGTCAGTTCATGAGCAGTATTGCTTCTAATCTAGTCAAGCTAAATTTCTTTAATTTAAACAAGAAATATACACCGCAATATTGCGTAATCAACCTCTCTAGAAAATTTCTTTAATTTAAACAAAAAATACAGACCGTCACCGTGATATTGCGTAATCAACCTCTCTAGAATTCTTATCCGCACTACTTTAATGTGAAGATGACAATGAACTCAGAAAAGTCCCCTAACAATAAACTAACAAAAAAAGTCGCCATGGGCCTCCGACAGTTAATTTGAGCAAGACTTGTCCTTATATATTATTAGACACCTTGCTTGTATCATAATAATGAGTTTAGAAATCGACTCTTTTTATTGTTTTAATTTTTTATTATTTATTAATTTTACTTATTTGAAATATTATTGTTTTAATTTAAATATATTTAAAAAATAATAATGAACGTAACCATCTATGGTCCTACTACGTGGATTCTTTTTTGTGATTTTATTTTTATTTTTTGATATCCAAATAGAAGAAGAGTAATTTAAATATTATGAAAACTTTATCCTATGCATTCTCCCTTTATATGCGTAGAAGATTAATAATGCTTCAATGATTCTATCCTCTACAAGATCTTTACAGTGAATTGGGAAAAAAAAGTTGCAAACTAATGTTATTGTATCCTCTACAAGATCTTAGTATATTGTAAATAGAGGCCTTTAAGGAAATGAATCTCTTTTTTTTTTAAATAAAAAATAAGAATTAGTTGTGGGGACTACATCACATCGAACTTTAACGATTCAAACCGTCAGTTTTCAAGATCCTTAAAAAATTTCTTCTCCAATTATATTCTCTAAGGAATTTTTTTTTTTGAATAAACAATATTATCTATATGAAGGGGGAAATGTAGGTATAGCCTCACAATGAGTTAGCAATCATGTGATTCAAACTCGCATTTGGCGAGAATTGAACCTAAGATCTCTAACTTACAAGTAAATAGGAATACTACTGGACTATACTACTAAGTGACTCTATGCAGAGAATTTTTATTTAAAATTTTATTAAATATTAGTGATTAATGCTAGGTTCTTCTTTCTCACTCCTTAGAATTAGTAGCTCATAGTAGAATCTCTATCTCAAGAAGTGGATAGGAAGTGTGATTGGAAATGAATATTTTCAAATCCTGTCTAAACTTTAGCCAGGAGCTCATTTAGGGAGTCCGTTGTAGATGCTTTAACTCATCATTTATGTAATTTGAACTTAATTGATATCTTGTTTATACAAATAGATAAGAATAATACCCGACCATTAAGGAACCACGTGTCCTTTCTGAAGAGAGAGAGAGAGAGAGAGAGAGAGAGAGAGAGAGAGAGAGAGAGAGAGAGAGAGAGAGAGAGAGAGACTATTCTAATCAGATCAAGATTCAAAGGTTAGGTTGGTAACGGGTCCATATCGCTACTGAGCTCATATAGAAAGTGAGGCACAAAGGAAAGTCTGTGACAAACCAACCTTTTGATCATCAGTCGTCGTCGTGGCACCAACACATCCAAACCCACACACACACACCCACACACATAGTATTGTACACAGTATATATACCATTACCAGAGCCTATCTAAAACACCCATTACTTACAACGTACGCAAATGCTAAGTATGGAAGAAAAGGCATTTGCAGAGAAGAGCTTGTACGGTGGTTCTCTTCCTGTTCCTAGTGTTCAAGAATTAGTACAGAAGCCAATACTCACAATCCCACCCAGATACATACAGCCTTATCATCAAGAGATCATCAGTTCTGATCATCATGCTCATCAAATCCCATCCATTGACATGCAGAAATTGCTTTCCCAAGAATCAACCATTTCTGAATCTGAACTAGCCAGGCTACATTTTGCTTGCCAAGAGTGGGGTTTCTTTCAGGTAATTAAATCACCTAGCCTTTTCCACTTAAATCTTTCATCAAATAGTGCTGATTGTTTTTTGCCCACGAGTTCCTGGAATTTGTCGATGATCATTTAGTCTAGTATCATCTAGTCTTCGTTGGCGATATGAAGAGCAGTACATAACTATGTAATCATGTAATTAAATATATATATATATTGCACCTCAAGTTAAGCTTAATTAGTAGTCCACTTCTATATCAAACTTTTCCTTGATTTGTCGTTGGTTTAAATTCATGTTAGCAACAAGTGAGTCAAACTTAAAAATAGACAGGCCACCCTTCTGGAAATTCATGGCTTCGACCATTTGGTTATTTAAGGACCGTTTTTACGGATAAAACCATTTTAGGTATCAATCGAATGGGCTGATCTGAAAAATATTGAGGTTTCATAACAAAATCAAGTGGTAATATGGAGTGTAGCTCAGCTACTCTAAGAGCATGTAAAGTCTCTTCTCTCCAATTTGGGATTCATACTGTCAACACTCTTACTCAATTGTGGTGAGTTTTCAAGCCTAACATATGAATAACACAAATTGAATAACGTGAAGTACATGTGGCCGTTGGACTTTACATGTGAGACCAGCCCCCTATTCGGGTAAAGTATGGTGCAAACAGATACCATGATGTGGAAGCCTAGGCATTAAGCTATAAATTAGATTGCTACAAAAAAATATCGTTAATAGGTTGCTACAAAATGTATTTTAGTTTTTTGTTGTTCTTTTCCTTGGTTAACTTGGCTACTTTCTAGGCCTAACCTATGTTTTTTTCACCTTGCCTGCATACTAAATTTTAGAAATTGCTATTTCGAATGTTTTTTGGCCATAGTATTCGTTCTATATATTTTTCAGTTGGTAAACCATGGTGTGAGCTCTTCCTTGTTGGAGAAAATGAAGACAGAAACTCAAGAGTTCTTCAACCTACCCATGGAAGAGAAGAAAATATTTTCGCAACAGCCAGGAGACATTGAAGGTTTTGGACAATCTTTTGTAGTTTCTGAAGACCAAAAACTCGATTGGGCTGACACTTTCGTCTTGACCACCCTTCCTGTCCAACTGAGGAAGCCTCACCTACTCCCAAAACTCCCTTCTCCTTTCAGGTCCTCTCGTGATTCCAAATAAATATGTTTGTCTATGATTTTGTGCAATATGATGAATGCACGATTATATCGAAGAGTAATGTTATTTAGTAAAAGAAAGAAAAAACTGATTTTATTTCTGACAATCTCTAGTTGAGTATTGATATAAGTGAGTGTAACATACATAAGTGACATACAGACTTACTTCTGTTAACACGTGTTACTAATGAAATCATTTGTATGTGTCTAATAATATTATTGATAGATATCAGTGCATTAGGTCATCTAGGTTATATTCATCCTAACATGATTTTCCTATACTAAACTCAGGTGTCGAATTAGTTTTTTATATTGGTCCTTTTTATGAGGTAAAATATTGTTTCAAATCTTTTGAATCTATACACATAGGTACGCTACATAATTCATAAAATGTATCCACAACAATGAACTAGAATAGTACGTACCTACGTGTATATCATGATTATCACCATGGTGAAACCCTAATTATGGCAGCAATATCTAATAAAACAATCATCGACACTAATCCAATTTTCTATTTTCTATTGGAAAGACTATAAACAATTTATTTTAGGGTGTTTTTGAGATACACACACCCTTGCAACTCCTATTTTATAGACAAAAAGCCACCTATGTTTAAATATTCAAATAAAATACAAATTTCATAAAGACAGCAATGTAGAAAAATAATTGACTATTATACAAAATAATTTCATAAAGCCACAATATCCAAATTATTTCAATAAATGTTACTGCTCGCTAGAAAATAATTATGTTACTTAGTACTATGGTCTAGTGATATTCCTTTTCACTTATAAGTGAGAGGTCTTAAGTTCGATTCTCACCAAAGGCGAGTTTAAACCACATTATTGCTAGTTCATTGTACGACTAAATCCACTCCTCCCCCTTAATGTAGATAATATCGTTTGTTAAAAAAAATTAGAAAAAAATTATGATATGTATTGTTACCCTTAATATATATATACACACTAGCATTTGCCTACATCTTTTGTGTGTAAGAACATATTTTTTTTAGAAAAATGGGAAGCAGAGAGGGAGAGAAAGAGAACGTGGGGGGGGGGGAGGTTTTTGTTTTTGGTTTTTTTAATTATTTTTTTAATTTTGAATATTGGAGATATTTTAACATCACATGTAGGTGAGGTTTCAATAAAAAATAGTAAAATTTGAACATATGAAATTACATTATTGCCCATCATTTTTTTTGGTGTGATAGAAGACTAAATAGTCTTTTCACCCTCCTTTGGTTGACAAAGAGGGTTTTATTAATAGGTAGTTTAGATATAAATTATTTGCACATAAATAGTGCTACAAATACGTACAAAAATATTCTACCTATTAGTTTACCTATTTACAAATTGATGATGAGTAAAATAACTATTTTTATAGGTAAATTATTTATATGTATTATTAAATATATTGAGCAATAGTAATATGCAATCGGCCCTTTAAAACAATGATGGAAAATAATTGGATCCTTACAAGACGGTGTGGGTTGTGGGTTCAAATCCCGTCAATGACTAATTTAACAAAATCTATTTTTTGACAAAAAAAAAAAAACCAACAACAAGAATATGTATTGTCAAATAATTAATTTATATTTTTATTTAAACTATAGGTAAATTATTTTTTAATAAAATAACAACCCTTTATTATGTAGGTAGTTTATTTTGCATGCATATAGGGCACATTTTATTAGTATACGATATATGTACAATTGATAAATAAATTAATTTTGAATCAAACAATATTGCTTTATTTTGTACGTAAATTATTTTGCATATATTGTAACATATTTTAGGCACAATTTATCATTGTAAGATATATGTACAAATAATTCATCTATATTTTTATAATGCAGAGAGACTATAGAAACTTACTCATTGGAACTGAAAAAGCTAGCCATGACTATCCTATCACAAATGGAAAAAGCTTTGCAGATGGAAACCAATGAAGTGACCAACATATTCGAAGGTGCATTGCAAGCGGTGAGGGTGAACTATTACCCTCCGTGTCCTCAGCCGGGGAAAGTCCTCGGTCTGACCCCTCACTCTGATGGTGGAGCTCTCACCATCCTCCTACAAGTCAATGAAATGGATGGCCTCCAAGTAAAGAAAGATGGGATTTGGGTTCCTGTGAAGCCACTACCAGATGCCTTTATTGTGAATATTGGAGACGTTCTAGAGGTAATGATTTTCACTGATAACTTTAACCTTTTGAATATTATCTTGCTCGATACGTAGATGAAAACGTTATCCAACTGTAATTTTCATACCATTGACCATCAGGTGATCAATTCTTTTTTAACTACATATAGTTCATATTCAAAATTAATTTACACAGTAACGTAGAAAAATATCTGGTAAAAAAGAATTTTACTCCAACATTACTCAGTACCAATTTTCACTCTGGTAAGTGTATATAAATAGTGTAGTGTTGCGAACAAGAGTTAGTTGAGTTGGTAAAGATCGTTCTCTTTGCTAAACCAAGGCTTACGTTCGAGTTTCGCTGCCGGCAATCCCTCTTGGTGAGTGATTTGTAAAAACATAAAAAAAAAGGCTAAAGCCCCCCTTTGTAAGTCCTCAAAGAGGCATGTGGTATGCCTTGGACCTGCAATGGGTAGTCTTCCATTGCTCTAAACTTTTTGTTACCAAAAATAAAAGATTGTAGTGTTATACATGTCATGTTTACTGACTATATTGTTAAGCATGTAAATCTTTCACACATAGCTTAATCTTCAATAACTTTTGACTGCGTGAGTGCGTCCTATATTTTGTGAGAGATGTGTTGAACAATTATTTCAAACAAAAGTTTGATCCTTAATAATTATACCTATTGCAGCTATTACCTTTTATTTTTAGTGTTTAAATATATGCTTGTATGCATGGCAGGTTATAACAAATGGGACGTATCGTAGCATTGAACATCGTGCAATTGTGAACTCTGAAAAAGAAAGGCTCTCAATCGCCACATTTTACAACCCCAGAGTTGATGGTGAAATCGGCCCAGCCTCTAGCTTGATTACTGAGAAAACACCTGCAGCATTTAAAAGGCTGAGTGTTGAAGAATATTTGAAAGCAATTTTTGATCGTAAGCTTCATGGAAAGTCTTTTCTTGACGAATTGAGGATTAAGTAATGATGTTAAGCAGTGGAACAGTTGGATTTGCACTTTTTGGTGCTGGTCTGTGAATAAGTTAAACATGTATTGGTGGGTTATACCTCTATTAGAGAGATTATGTAAATATGATGTAAAAAAATGTGATAAGTGTAACACTACTTGTTTTTATTTTTCTTTCCTATCCTATGTCCAGTCCACCATTTTCGTTCTATTATTTTGCAAATGATTGCCTCTATATTACAAATAGTCCAATCCAAAAGATTGAATTGGGGAACAAGGGAGCAAGTACACAACTTTATTTATATCTACAAAGTTCAGATCGAAAGATTTCAATTTTCGCCTTATCATCGTACACCAAAAAAAAAAAAAAAAAAAAAAACAAAACAAAAACTCCAAGTGATTTTGAGAGAAAACTTCTCTCAAATCGTAACCCAAAGCCCAAGCCCAACAACAAAGCCGGACCTCTCACCCAAATACTTTTGGTACCAAAATTCCCCCAACCAAAAACTTAAATACCCCGCCAAATTCAATTATTGGCTACTAAAACTCAAATGAAAACGAAGGCTCGTAACTTTCAAACAACAAATCTAGTTCGTTCGTCTAATATTTCAATTCAAATCCTTAATCTCTAATCCTAAAATCAAAACCTCAAAAGAGATCAAACTCTCTCAATCAATCTTCCTGCCAAATCATTTTGTATCATAGGTTAGTTTAGGGATGCTAATAGGATCTTTCTTAATTATGTTCGGACTTGCCTCAAATTGATAATGCATTATCCAAGAAGTAATAATATCCGAGTAATGGAGTAGTCTGACAACATCATCATCATTCAAGTTTAACTGAGTCATAATCTCCGAGTAACTCAGTCTATCTGAGGTATTGAATAACAGCAGGGCTAAAGTCTAAAGTAAGATAAAGAAAAATCAGTCTTTGAAATAAATCAAACACTAATAGATCAACATATCACAACCCAGAAGAAAAATATGAGAAATAGATCACAGATTAGAGAGAGTTCAATTAATATCTTAGATATAGTGCATTATATTTTCAGCCATTGTAAATGTAATTGTTTAATGATTGTGGTTGTTTTCAGGATCTTTTTTTGTGTCTTAGGCTGAAGAACATGATGGAAATGAACCTGATCGTGTGACTTTTTTCAAAATGACACACACAAGAGGACCTAAGCAACTCCCAATTGATGCTGAATCTGGCAGAATGATGGTAATTTGTACATTTTCACTTTATCAAATTTATTTCCAGCAACCTTTAACGAAATTTTATGCATTTACGAATGATTAAGACTTTTTCAAACAGTTGGCAATTGACAATCTGGAAGTGGAGGTTCGTGAGCGTGGTAAAGAGGTAACAACAGAGGTTCGCAATAGGATTGTTGCAAAAGTGTTGGGGCCAGAGAAGCGAAATCACGTGCGCGGCTTTGGCCTTGGAGGTGGTTGGGCAGATGTACCAGGAATTATTATTGAGTAGCGAGGTATTTCTAGGGAAGTGAAGTATCTTCAGGAAGCTTATAAAACTCATAAACAAGCCACTGCTGCTGCGGAAGAAAAAATGACTCGTATGATGCATGAGGCAAATGAGAAAGAGGAAAAGATGAAAAAAGAGCAAGAAGAAAGCATACAAAGGCTTAGGGCCGAACAAGAGGAGAATTTGAGGTTAGCAAAGGTGCAAATGGATGGGCAATTGAAAGCCATGTTAGCATATGTGGGCATCAACATTGGTTCATTTGGAGTGGGTGCTCTACAAAGTACTTCAACTCAGCAACAAGGGTGTGGAAGCTCACACGCTCATATTTCAACGCTTTTCGAAGGTGGAAATGACAAGAATGTGCAATGTGGACCTCCAGATTCTTGTGCTATGATGCATGAGGACTGCCAAAGTGAGAATACTAGTTAGTTGTCATCAAGCAACCCTTGTAGATGTGTATTTTGTTTATGTATTGCTGGTTTGAATTGAGACACAAGCTTGGATATGTTATATTTTGTTGTATATAGAGAATTCCCCGGTATGTCCAACATAGGATAACATGTATTTTCTTGTTTAACATTTGGATGGGTTGTATTGTTAGGTTGCATGAATAGGTCTTAGCCAAGAACATGGGTTATGTAATATATTAACTTCACTATTTTAGTGCTAATGTTAATGAATCTAATGTTAATTTATCTTTAGTTTGTAATGGATGGTTTGTAAGTTCCTCAAATTTGGTGGAAATTAGGTCATGTGAGCAAGCCTGATGATTTCTATATTTAAATAAAAAATCCAATTTTACCAAAAAAATAAACAAAATTCCAATTGTGCCACACTTTTACAATTGTGCTGGAGCTTTATTGTATTTATTAAAATATAATAGAGTGGCACAATTTTAAAGTTGTGGTGCCTTTGCTTTAACATTTATACAGCAATCTAAGCCTTTAAAATAGCAATTGTGCCCATCTTACACCATACATGCAATAGCCTTTATTAGAGGTGAGACACAAAAAGGGTTGTATTTGTGCTTAGCCTTTGGGCACAAAACATCATATTGTGTGTTATCATTAATGGTAATGCCCATTGAGGGCACATACACAAAGATAGTAGCTGCACTGTTGCTATTGGTCTATGAGCACAATTGTTGGTGCTTTTTGGCCTCAAAGGGCACATATAATTTATTGTACGCAGTTTGTAGTGATAATTTCATTTAAGATAATGTTGCTTACTGAGCTTTGCAACTCACCTTTTTTCCCTTCCGTTTCAGCAGCTTGGGTGAGAAGTTGACACATGTTTTGGTGTATATTTGAAGAGTTGTACAAGATTTTTGTTCATTTTAGAAAACATTAGATGTTTTGTAGCTATTTTAACAACATTGTGCACATTAGATGTTTTCTACCTTTATTCTGGATTTTGGAACCTTTGTAATTTCATTTTCAGGTTATTTGTAGGAAATGGTAATAAATTGTTTATTTCAGTTTGGGAGAACGGGAAGTATTACTTTTTACTCTTAGAAGTAAAATTAAGTGTCACCTGCTCGAATTTAGTTTGGGTCAAATTCGTTGCATGACATGTGATGAGCTGATAGTACTAGTGTAATCCATTAAAGCATATTACTTGTGGTGAGGTGATGTAGTTTAGGCCAAATCTGTTGTGTGACAAGTGGTGAGGTGATAGTATTGGTGTAATCCATTAGGTACCATGTGGTACGTAGGATGGATGGAATGCAGTGGGACGGGACGCACTCGTCCCACGTTTGGTGCTCCAATTTTCCTAGGATGTGCTATCCTATGAAACGGATTTTAGTCAATTTTTTATGTCACCCTCCCCCTGGAACAACTTGTTCCAGCCCATGGAACACAAAATTATAACTTTTTGGACAATAATACCCTTTTTTTCATTAATTTCACTATCTACCCTTTCGCTCCCATAGCCTCCCTCTCTCCTGTAGCCTCTTCCTCCTCCACCACAAACCCAGCAACCCAAGCTAACCTAATCCCAGTAAACCAATCTGAACCCAACCTCACTTTCCTTCTACCGCCTCCCTCCTCCCTGCTAGTCCCACAACGAGACCGTTACCCTCCGCCGCGAAAACCTCAAGACCACCCACTTGCAGGATGTGGCTGACGTCATCGCTCAAGGAATGGGACGACAAGGATTACGCGGAAGATGTAAGGGATGACGTTGAACTTGTCGACAATGGCTTAGGTAAGGTCGAACTCGTCGGAGTGGATGGGTACGATTGTCATTTAATCCTTCGTTCCATTCTGGCTTGAACGTACACCAAACGTAGCATGGAACCTCCATTCCGTTTTGTCCCGTCTGCGTACTAGACGGTACCGTAAAGCATATTACTTTGTAGCGTAAACAATTTGGTCATAGACTTTAAAACCTTCAATTGGATAGAGGCGTGGAATTATTGAACTAGCTGGAGTGCAGAAACTTGAGTGTAACGAGGATATTTCTAGGAACTTGGTTACATAATAGTGTTAGTCTTAGGTTACGTGATAAGTGCTATAAAGTGATGGAATATGTAATAATTTCATGCCTTATAAAATTAGAAAAACAAATGAAAATGATTTGAAAACTTTGAGTTTTAACGAAAATGACAAAAATGTGTTGTAAATGAATATTACCAGGATTGACTTTTTAGAGTAAAAATGTGATTTTTCATTAAAGTGAACAGTACCAGGTGTTTTTCGTTAAAGCTTCCTTTAAAATTTGGGATGTTTAAGCAATAAATTAATTGGGATACACTCACTGTTAAAGTTTTCAACTATGAATTTGTCAAATAAATTAGGAAGTTTTAACGAAACACTCCCGATATTACACATTTTTAACGAAAAACCACATTTTTACCTTTACTGGTACTATTCACTACACCTTTATTTATCATTTTTCATTAAAACTAATGTTTTTTTTTTTGACCTTTCGTTAGTTTTCCTAATAAATTAAGCATCATATCCAAGAAAAGTAAAAAAAAATATAACTATAGTTTGTCGAAATTTTTTTGAGAGACTGCATTTTTTAACCATTAGTATGGGTGGTTCGGTATGGGATCCCATACCGAAACCCTTGTCCCGATTCCCAAACCAAAATTTTCAGGAATCCCAATTTCAATACCGATCTCAAACCAAAATTTCGAGAATCCCAGTTTTCGGGAATCCCGAAATAGTTTCGGGATTTCGAGACAAATCGGGAATCCCGAAATGGTTTTGGGCTTTTGGACTAAAATTTGACATATTATGCTTTTGGGCTAAAATTCAACCTTTTAACATATTATGCTTTTGGGCTGCCAATCTGCCAGTGCCAATCTGTTGAACATATAACTTGCAACCAGCCCGTCCCCTAAACAGAGTGCTTTACATATCAAAACAAAGCCATTGGCCAATATGTAATAGTTAACAATGTTTTGAAGATAAGTTACCAATAAAACTGCTGCAGGACAGGGAACTGAAGAATACCTTAACCTCAAAAGCTGGATTCCCAAATTGGTAGTGCTCCTCTTTTTCTTTGTTGTATCGTTCACTTACTGATTTTATGATGGTAAGAGGATACATTTACGTCAGATACTTATTCGCTTTTTGCCAGCTTAGCACAAGAAACATTTGGAATATGTTTTCAAGAATCTGTATATGGAAAACAAAAGAAAATTGATATATCATGGTAACATTTTAGAATAACTTTTTAATCCACTTCCCTGCAATCAATATGTTTTGTAAGCTGTTGTTACTGATAAACGTATGGTTTTCATATCTGCTTGCAGACATTGTGGTAGCAGGATCTAATCGGTTAGTCATTAGTTTACATGTGTGCAAGTGTTCCCGTGAGTGAGGATCTAATCTTTTCTTGTTCTAAATAGTAAAAGAAATCATGATTTCACACCAGGACGGATAAATCATACACAATTCATATTGGAGATGCATTCACATAGCCTATAAGAATATATACATATAAATTCATACACACAATACGATGATCTCTATGGAACTAGTGCAGCATATATAAATAACCCTAAATCAACTGCAGTGACAAAATTTCCGAAAAGAACGAATGGGGTACCTGAGTACCTCGCTAAAATCCATATAAATGAATTCAAGTAGACAATCAAGATAATTGAATTCTATACAGAGAAACCATCAAAGCTCACAACTAACTGGTACAAGACATTTTAGAAAACATTTACAAGGAACAAAGAAACAAAAGTAAAAAAGCTCTGATTTCAGAAGGTATTTTAGAAAACATTTAAGTCAGGCTCCCTCCCCCCTTTAACGGTTAACCTCTCATTCCGTTTGTAACCTCTCCGTCGATTCAAAAACCCTAATTCAGAAACCCTAATTTCAGAAATTCCTAATTCAGAAACCCAAATTCAAAATCTCTAATCGAATTTGGAATCAAACAATTTGTAAGAACTTTGGTTGAGTTTATTGCAGGAATTTCTTACCTTTTGCAGTGAGGAGGAGTGCGGACTAAGACCGAGAGCTCGATTCAGGAGCCGAATTCGGGTGGTATGGACAGTGGGTGAAAGTGCGATTCAAGTGAGGAGTGAGGACTAAGAGGAATGAGGACTGGTGTGGGTAGATTTGGGATTCAGGCGACGGATGTGGGAGGAGAGACAAATCGGCGAAGAGGAGATACTGAGGTGAGGTGAGGTGAGGTTTAGGTCTAAGGTGAGGTGAGTGAATGTCGAGAGACCGAGGGAGAGAGATAGAGTTAGACACGAGTTGATAACTTTGATTTATATGCAACGATTGAGATTAAATCTCAACATAATCCAACGTTTGGTATTGGGTACCGAAATTTTTGAAAATTTTGGTTTGGGAATTTTTCTGTTCGGTTTCGGGAATTTTTCAGTTCGGTTTGGTATTTTTGGGATTTTTTCCCATCCCTAACTATTAGTGTTCCATTTAATGTGGTAAGTGATGTGTACATGTCATGCCTCTTAATTAATTTATCTCATTGGATATTGGTTGTATGCATCACTTGTCACATAAGATGATACACTAATATGATACAAAATTATAGTCTCCCTGGTATTACTTTAGATTTGTCTCGTGATAACAACCAGCGAATTGTGTCCAAACTTATTATTAGATGATAATTTTTGATACATCATTTGGGCAATATTAATTTTACAACATACACCTTTTTATTCTCTTCAGAAATTTACATAAACCTTTTTGTTCTCTTCAGAGTGATCTCTCTACTGCTTAACATCATTACTTAATCCTCAATTCGTCAAGAAAAGACTTTCCATGAAGCTTGCGTTGAAAAAATGCTTTGAAATATTCTTTGACACTCAGCCTTTTAAATGCTGCAGGCGTTTGCTCAGTGATCAAGCTAGAGGCCGGGCAGATTTCACCATCAACTCCGGGGTTGTAAAATGTGGCGATTGAGAGCCTTTCTTTTTCAGAGTTCACAGTTGCACGATGTTCAATGCTACGATAAGTCCCATTTGTTATAATCTGTCACGCTTACATGCATAAATTTAAACACAAAAAATAAAAGGTAACAGCTGCAATACAGTCTGTAAACATGACATGGATAATGCTACACTTTTTTTTTTAGGTAACAAAAAGTTTAGAGCGAGGAGATTACCCATTTTAGGTCCAGGGCATAAAAGATGTTTTTTTAGGACTTACAGAGGGGAGATTTAGCTTTTTTTATTTTTTATTTTTTACAAATTGCTCACCAAAAGGGATTGTCAGCAGCGAGACTCAAACTTAAGTCTTGGTCTAGCAAAGAGAACGATCCTTACCAACTCAACTAACTTTTGTTCTTAACACTACACTCTTTATATACACTTTTAAAATTGGTATTGATTAATGTTGGAGTAAAATTATTTTTTACCAGATATTTTTCTACGTTACGGTGTAAATTAATTTTGAATATGAACTATATGTAGTTAAAAAAATAAATGGATCACCTAATGGTCAATGGTATGAAAATGACAGTTGGTAACGTTTTCATCTACGTATCGTGCAAGATAATATTCAAAAGGTTAAAGTTATCGGTGAAAATCATTACCTCTAGAACGTCTCCAATATTCACAATAAAGGCATCTGGTAGTGGCTTCACAGGAACCCAAATCCCATCTTTCTTTACCTGGAGGCCATCCATTTCATTGACTTGTAGGAGGATGGTGAGAGCTCCACCATCAGAGTGAGGGGTCAGACCGAGGACTTTCCCCGGCTGAGGACACGGAGGGTAATAGTTCACCCTCACCGCTTGCAATGCACCTTCGAATATGTTGGTCGCTTCATTGGTTTCCATCTGCAAAGCTTTTTCCATTTGTGATAGGATAGTCATGGCTAGCTTTTTCAGTTCCAATGAGTAAGTTTCTAAATTCTCTCTGCATTATATAAATATAGGTGAATTATTTGTACATATATCTTATAATGATAAATTGTGCCTAAAATATGTTACAATATATGCAAAATAATTTACGTACAAAATAAAGCAATATTGTTTGATTCAAAATTAATTTACTTATTAATTGTACATATATCTTATACTAATAAATTGTGCCCTATATGCATACAAAATGAGCTCCCTACATAATAAAGGGTTGTTATTTTTTATTAAAAAATAATTTACCTATAGTTTAAATAAAATTATAAATTAATTATTTGACAATACATATTATTGTTGTTTTTTTTTTGTCAAAAAATAGATTTTTAAGATTAGTCACCGACGAAATTTGAACTCATTCCATCATGTAAGGGTCCAATTCCTTTCCACCATTGTGGTAAAAGGCCAATTGCATATTACTATTGCTCAATTTATTTAATAATACATGTAAATAATTTACCTATAAAAATAAGTTATTCGCTCATCATCGATTTGTAAATAGGTAAACTAATTGGTATAATATTTTTGTACGTATTTGTAGCACTGTTATGTGAAAATAATTTATATCTAAACTACCTATTAATAAAACCCTCTTTGTCAACCAAAAGAGGGTGAAAAGACTATTTAGTCTTCTATCACACAAAAAAAAATGATGGGCAATAATGTAATTTCATAGGTCCAAATTTTACTGTTTTATTTATTGAAACCTCACCTACAGGTGGTGTTAAAATATCTCCAATATTCAAAATTAAAAAAATAATAATAAAGTGTGTAGGCAAATTGTCACAGCCTATTTTGGAAATAATTTTGGGCGATATGAAAAGACGGAATTGCCCTTGAGCGTTGGTGGCGTTGTGTGACTAAGTTTTGGTTTAAGGACCAATTTGATGAGTCCCTAGTATGTTGGACCCAATTGCAAGTAAGGAAAATAATTGGTTTGATTAGTGGGTGGACATATGAGACCACACACACACATCCACATCACCTTCTCTCTCACTCCCGTACTCTCTCTCCGTTTCACTCTCTCTTTCTCTCCTTGCTATATGTACGGACAAGAGCAAGAACGCCTCAAACTTCACAGATCGAAGGTTTTGGGCACACCATTTTGTTCCTTATTCCATTTCAAGTGCAAAGGTACCCATTTCAGGTAAGAACTCGTTTGATATCACGATGAAAACTCATGCTCCGAGTTGAGCACTATTCATGAACTTTTGAATGGTTATGTTTTAGGACAATCCAAGCTCACAGCGAGCTCTAGGAGGTTCTCACGAAGCTCGGAATGATTAGTTGGCTCGGTTTTGACGTTGGGATCACGAGGTTCGAAGGTGGCTGATTTTGGTAGGATTTTCCCGACGAGTTTTCGAGGGATTTGAAGCTCCAAAGAGGTATAACCTTCTTCCTCTCGTGATTTATGACATTTTGGTGAAAATTTTGTGGAAAATGGTGCAAAAACGAGCAAGAAAAAGGCAAGGTCTGCCTAGAATCCGGCGCCGGCGACACTGTTTCGGCGTCTGGAGGTTGAAGATGATGTGTGTGAGGTCGTGCCCTCCCCGATGTGTGGGGGCGCGTGAGCCACAGAAAAATTATTTTTAAAATATCACGATGTCGTGAAGTTATGTAGGTCACGTTGGTATATTCAAATACCAAAATTGAGCTTTGTATGAGAAGTTATTAGCTAGTTTTGTGTATGTGCTTTAAAATAACGTTTTTATAGTTAATTCACATATAGGTGAGACTTATCCCGAGGACGAGCGTATCCATGGGCGACTCGGGGGTTACGACCTGTCGACATACCAGTGAGTGGGCTTTTGGTTTTCATTATAATTATATACTTGATATTTTCCTAGAAATATGTGTTTAAATGATAGTATGCCATAATGCCATGCATATAAGTTTATAATTCATACATGAATTGGTATGTGATGCTTTATATATATAAATGTGGTGTTGTGGACGCTCAGGTAAGCTCAGGTAAGTTGTGTTTGGTTATGTGAATCATCGATGATGCGATATGTGGTTGAATAATGTTGAGCTCATAAAACTGCACGTAGGGTGATTATGATTTAGTCATAGATATGACACATGCTTGTTTATTATGTCACCTCCCGCACCATATGCTCATATTGGATCCAATTTAGGTGCACAGTCCTGTCATACAGACCTTATTTATGGTTCCGACTCGTAGGTAACTAGCGATTTATCGCCCAGCTATTATGTGAGAGTAGTATTGAGCATGATTATATTACACCGATTATTGTTGTATAGACCTTTTTGTTTGGTTCCGACTCTTGTGCAATATGTTGCCGTATAGGTCATAGTAGTGACTCCGGTTAGAGTGATTTTGAGCTATGAATTCAGCCGTACAGACTACCACAGGGGTTCCAGCTAATATGTTATATTTCTATGAAATTAACCTTACCTGAATTGCTTACTCTATTATATCTTGGCATGGCATACATATGAATATGATTATTTGAAGCATGAATTGAATTGATATGATTTCATATATATTTAGGTATATGCTTATATCTTGATTATGGGAAAAATTATACATGTTTTACTGCGAGGGGTTAGTTATGTTGATAAATGAAATGATTTTGTAAAACATTTATTTTTGCTCACTCACGTTTTCTGTTTTGCGCCCCTCTAGGTTTTAAGTAAGCTTGTTGTTGGTGGCTTAACGACATCGGCAGTTCTGACCTATCTAAATAATAGTAAGACATTCCTGGTACTGTATACTAGTACTTTTCCTACTGGACTACACCTAAAATTATTATGCTCTGATTAGGAGTGTTTACTTTTGTAACTAACTCCAATCACTTCCTGTTTAGTAGTGCACTCTAGTAATTTGGTTTTTAATTATTCGTATATTTCCTATCATTATTGATTTCGCACTGTGCACATAGCTACGTCACTCTCACGTGACGACCAGCATACCTTGATCTCGGTCGGGGTATGTCACAAATGCTAGTGTGCGTGCGTGCGTGCGTGTGTGTGTGTGTGTGTGTGTGTGTGTGTTAAGGGTAATAATACGTGTTATAATTATTAAGGGTAATAATAAATGTCATAATTATTATTTGTTTTTTTAACAAACGATATTATCTATACTAAAGGGGAGGAGTGAGCTTAGCCTTACAATGGGCTAGCAATAATATGGTTCAAACTTGCTTTTGGCGAGAATTGAACTTAAGACCTCTCACTTACAAGTGAAGAGGAATACCACTAGACCATGGTACTAAGTGGCATAATTATTTTCTAATTAGAGTGAGCAGTAACATTTATTGAAATAATTTAGATAATGTGGCACGAGGTGCAATTATTTTGTATAATAGTCAATTATTTTTCTAC